CTACCAGGGTGGCTACCACGGTGGCTACCAGGATGGCTACCAGGGTGGCTACCAGGATGGCTACCAGGAGGATGATGGACACCGCAGCTTGGAAGTGCAAGGGATGAACCAGGACCTTTCACTCCTCTCCAGATGTTTTGTATAGTTTTGTCCGAATGTAACGGTTGGTGCACCATCAGCTTCCACGAAGATGACCCGATGTGTGCTGCACCAGGTTGCCCATTGTTTAGCTTGATTCGGATAGCAGGAGACCTGAAGGGGTGGTCTTTGGACTTTAGGGGGTGGTGAATAGACACCCGGTCGCCACCAATTGGCACTGACACGTCCTATGTTTATAAGAATAGAGACCAGGACCAGGACCATCCGAGGTGTCCCCCTTAAATGACGCCTTTGCTCGGCGTCGTTCTATTTTCGTGACTTAGATCGAGGTCGGTCCTACCTTAGTCTACCTGAGGGCGGCTCCTCGCTGCCGAGGTTCCTTTTTCGGTCGAAGTGGCAGGTGACCTATTTGCTGAGGTTACGATGAGACGATGGGGGATGCAAAGACCATTGGGCCCAAGGAAGAAGGTGCCGAGCCAAGACAAGGCTTGGTGAAGGACGACTGAATTGCAATAGAATCTAGAAGGTAACAGAAGGCGAAGGTATAGATATAGGTGGAGGTTTATGTATAGGTCATCATCAAGATCGCTCGCAGCTTTCATGCGCTTGGACAAGGTTTGGGGTGATAGTTCTCTTACTTTCTCCCTATTTTTCGATGTTCCTTTGGCCTCCTCGTGACCCCGGCGACCCCTGATTGTTGCTGTGAAGCCGCAGGTGTGCCGCCCCAGGCTGGGCCTGTTGAGGCGCTGGAGGAGCCGGTGCCGGCGGCGGGCGAAGACTTGCCGCCGCCGGAAGAGGAGGCGCCTGAGGAGGTAGGACCGTCCGGAGTGGTATGACGTATGACCTTATACTGTACAGACCTCCAAATAGATAGAAAAGTGAATCCCCACTCAATTGGGATGTCTTGGAACCGTGCCACTATCTATTTGGGGACCACTATACCATACGTCAGGATCAATCGGGCGTTCGTTCGCTTGGGGTGTTTGGTGGGTTTGGACGCTTGAACCATCCACTGCAGGTGGCACCTGTGGAGACCAACGAGGTGGAGCAGCAAACTGAGGCGCCCGACGAGCAAACTGAGGCGCCCGACGAGCTTTCGGGTCCTCCGCTGATGCTGGTGCGGGGGCCTGGGACGATGCAGAGCAAGTCCTCAAGCAGATGTTTGATGCTTGAAGACATGAGATGCATCTGTTGGCTGGATGAGTTCTTGAGATGATGCTGTTCGTCTATTGTTGACTTGAAAACGTCTACCCTTCAGTGGATGATGGGCCGATTTCGCTGTCGTCAGCGAGAAAGAATGAGTTGTGATCCTGAGACCCCCAAAGGAAATGGACATGGGCTTGATCAGAAGAAATGACAAGACCCCCACTCTTGACAGGTCCTGACCCACTCCCCGCTACCACTGAATGCTCCAGCCTTCGCTCCTTCGCTCGCGCACCTTCGCTCAGGTGAACAGCGAAGGGCAGAACTTGCTTGCCAAGGAGAAGACGAGGCGGTCACCGAACGCTGCGGGTTCACCGATTCACCTTCAGTCCCACACCTCCGATGGTCTCCGATGGTCGCATTGAGGGTTCCCGATGAGCGAGAACGTCGCCCTCCGATGTCTCTTCGCTTCCCGAACGCGTCGGAAGCGATGGATCTTGGTGTCGATGTTCCTCGAAGTTTTCATCGATTCTCCTTCCTTTTTTTTAAAGGGGGGGTTCCAAGCAAGGGCATCACTTGGGGTCTAGATCCCAGCCACTTTGCTTTTCAGCACCACTGAAGTGTTGTTCTGCCCTGCCTTCGAGGCAGCTCATCAACAAAGTGAATCTCCTCTCAAAGTCCTTGCAGGCCGTGTGCGAAGCGAAGAGAGACGAAGAGCATGACCAACGAGTGTTTGCGCTTTCGCGCGAACACTCGGTACGTTTTCAGAGCCAACCCCCGTACGTTCTTGTTCGCTTCCTCTTCGTCCGCGCTTTCGGTGGCAGGTGTCCGACATATCCCAGGGCAGGTGAGGCAAAATAGATCGCGTTTGACAGGCATGCCATAGGCAACCCATACAACCCATCCCTGCTGGCAACGCTCGTTGTGCCCCGCAGCGTCCTCAAGCGAACCGGACACGGACAGCGTCCTGGTCCTGGTCCTCCGCTGGACGACGATTGTCCACGGCGGCGCCATGGGTGCTGGACCTTCACGTCGTGTGCAGGATGAGAGTGCTGAAAATTGCTCCAAGGAGGGTCGTTGGAGCAGTTTGCGGAGTTGCTGGAAAGGCCCGTGGGGCAGTAGCAGCTAGTAGCAGTAGCAGTAGGGTGGGTGTAGGTGGCGAAAGGTTCCGATTGGAAGCCTGTTTCGGTTGTCCTGGTGCTGCAGGCAGTGGAAGCTCAAGCAAACGGCCCAACTTCCATTCCTTCATGGGGGAGCAGTGCCAGAGCATCATCCGATCACAACCTTTGCAGCCTCTTGGAGCTTTCCAGTTGGAACCTGGGGGATCTTTTCGTTCGAGCTGGGGATCTCAGGGGATCTGAGATCCATCGGCCACGCGGTTTGTGGGCCGTCGAAGAATGACCTCCTCACCTCAAAGGTACGAATACATAAGGGACAAACCTTCGTTACTAGTATATAGCTTCTTGCTACTAGTAGCGATGGCCTCCAACTTAGTAGCTTCTTGTTCCTATGAGTAATGCCAGGAGCTACTAGTACCAACGCCCTTTTGTTACTAGTAGCAAACCTGCAACATAGGTGTCAGGCGTATCACCTTCGGGGCATGATCGCGGCTGTCACAAAGGGGGGGCAGAGCGGTGTTGTGGGCCTCGACCTCGTTTTTGGGGGCGGTCACGCCCATCTCGGCCGCAAGGAACGAATCCAGAACAAGTGCTGGAAGCACCGTGCCATCCGTGCCGTCCTCCACGACCAATGAGAGGCGACGCCACGGCGCCCTCGCCGCGGGGCGAGTCGCCGACCGTGGCGTAACGCGCCGCCGACCGTGTCGGTTGTGGCGTTCCAGCGCTCGTTTCAAAGACGGGACCGATGGTGCCGACCGTCGACGGTGGAACTTGGGGTTTCGTCAAGATCTCGTCTGATCGAGCCAGGCCGAAGAAGGACGGCTTGCTGATCGACGGTTGGGACTTGGTGACGGATTCGGCCACCATCAATCAGAAGACTCCAGAGACCTCTTGGGCGATGATTCGCCACCAGGGTCCTGGCCCCGGGGTGCCCAATCGCGGCATGCGCGACGCTCACGTGACGACGCTGGGGATGCAAAACAGGGGGGAGGAGGAGGGAGTGGGGGAGCTAGTGGGGGAAGTTGGAAGATCTGCAAGATGGCAGAAAGGATCCCCAAATGGCTCTTGAATGAGAGACGATGGATGAATAGTGGCAGATTTTTTCTTGACACTTGGATTCTGTCATTGTTCGTGGTCGGGAGGTCTGACAAAATGTCCATGCACCGGAGGCAGTTGGAGGCCTACTTGAACCGTTTGGAGGCGCAGCCGAGTGAGTTGTGCACGCCCGTGGAGGAGAAACGCATGGACCATGAACTCAGATCCCCCGGAAGCTGAGCGCGATGTGAGGCTTTCGAGGCGTCCGGATTGCGGATGCAGAACATGGTCCTGTTTCATTCAGGTGAGTGATTTCATTTGGTCAAGGATCGGTGATGAAGCAATCACGCAGCCTGTAGCTACAGCAGCTTCTCTAAGCGTTTTGGAACCGGACCATTTGATGTGTGGGGTTCGGAGGAACTCATTTTACCTTTTTGAGGCAGCCGGGTGAAGTAGAGTGCCTTGGATGGGAAACCGAAACACATCCAGCAAGGCATCGTGCCATTGGCGCCGACCTCGAAAACACTCGAATGCCCGTAGGACTAGGTTGGACCACGCAGCACGGGCGTGGAATTCATCAAGATTGGTTACTGTGGCTCACCGAGTAAGAAGAAGGAGACCTGCAAGATCTAGTCACTAGTCCATTTTTCCTTTTGCCAGTGTGATTGGATGGTACCCGTTTCTGTTTTTTCGAGCCACATGATGAACTCTATGTGATCTAGAAAAAGTGGTGGCTTCCTGTGAGACAGGAGAAGCACCCACTTTTTGCCGTGTTTCACCCCATTTTTGAGTGATGTGGGAAGACGGTTCGAATCGAATTAGCCAGTTTTTCTTCCAACTGTTGCGTGGTGACAGGTCCTGGTTACAGGATGTTACAGGCACCATGTCTTGATCTCCTGTTCTCCCTTGGAAGGTGACAAACCCCCAACTTCCCAGCGCCAGCAGCGCCGGCCTCCCTCATGGCTCAGCAGTATAAATGCGGATGTTTTCCACCTCTCCGCCCTGGGGAAGCGACGCACCGTGCACTCAGGGAAATCCGAAGATCCGGTTTTCTCCCGGGGCCGCCGGTCATGGTGCTTTTTTCGGATGGACTGGATCGTGTGAAGGTGACTTCTTTTCCTGGACTTGGACTGGGGAACTGGGGAACACCATCAGATCATTTTCGAACGAGTGAGATCTCACCTCTCATTTGACCGATCCTGACTTACTTGCACACTAGCTTGCTCTATGCGGCAGCCAGCTGCCTCTCGGGACACTGATCGATGTCGGCCGCACGGGTTTGGCTCTTGGTCACGAATGGCCAGCAATCGAATGGCCTGGTCATATGCACAGGGAACAGTTGGACAACTCCGGCTTTTGGTCGCTGGCACACCAAAGCCCCAAGTTCTTGATAGTTCTTTGCCCTTTCCCAAACACTTGGTTGTGGAAGGGGTTGTTCCTGAGCCACTGAATCAGGTCAACCCCCCAACGTCGATTTTTTGGGGCGCTCCCAAGATGTTGGTCGGTCAACGGAAAGCGGGTTGCGGGTTTGGCTCTCGCAACTTCAGTTGCGGGAGCCAAGGCGTTGGAAACGAAGTCAAATTGGGGCCCATCCCTTTGCCCACATTGGGGCCCATTGAAAGAAAGCACCATGGAGATGTTTCAGGAAGGACCAGAGACTCTCCGACCAGGCAGGCCCAGGCAGGCTCGATCACTGGAAAGATTACAGTTGCTTTTCCGAACGGAAACCCAATCTGCGGCGATTGGGGGGCATGAGCGCTGCCTCTGGAAAGCCTTGATTGTGGGCTCAGGGAATCAGACCCAGGATTCTGCAGGTTTAGACGACTCTTCCTTTTGACCCATGGGCTTGGATATCACACCTCTCTTTGAGATATAGCCTTGTGAACAAACTTCCATCATCTGTGAAAGGAGAGAAAAAAACAGGGCGAAGTCTTCCACCCGGAGTCCTATCCCATCAATGAGTCACTTCTGTGACTCACAACTTTGGGCTGAGCCAACGATGCAGATGGCGCCATCGGAAGCTTGGCCGAAGCGCAGCATGTCCCGGACGCGCCCGGGCCCACCGCGGAGTCCGACGCGGCGCGAGGGAGTTCGGTTCAAAAAGGTCACCTGTTGCGCCCGAGTCCGACCTGGACTGAACCCCTTAATATATAGCCAAGTCTGGACCATGAATCTGGGTCGTGCGCCAACGAGATGAACTTTTGCGCCATGGATTCCATGGATATGATGACCTGAGAGACCTAAAAGACCACAGAGACGCTGATTCAATGGAGATCCAAAATCCATCCCATGAACTCCTAGAACCTGATCTTGGAGATCACCTTGGAGGTTCTTTGCTTCCCATCCTCGATGGTTCTTTGCTTCCCATTCTGCTTGGAAGCGCTGCCCTTGAAGATGGCACCCATCGAGACGGGGCCTTGAAACAAACTGCTCCGAACAGATTGTTTGTCGTTGGTTTGTATTGAACTATGGCATGGGAAGGTACGTAGCAGGATGAACTAAAGATACATGATGAGAGGTAAACCGCCCACTGTAGCAGTCTTGTCGAGTCCACTGGTACACAAGGTGATGCCCAGGTGAAGATCCTCGTTCGAGAGGTCCAAGAACCGCCGGAATGGGCGGACCTGAGTGAATCCACACGAAGAATGTTCGACTGGGAGTTGACCCTTTCAGATGAGCCACTGGCAAAAGAGTTCATGAAAGAGTCTTGATGTTGACGTTCAGTCTCTTGATGTTGACCCGTGACAGGCCAAGCTTCCAAGCTATGAGGAAGGAGAGTGAGGGAAGCCCAGCAGCGTCAAGACGCCGGCGGCCATGGGGGCGGGCAGGTGGAGTCAGGAAACACCTGGCAGATGAGGTCAACCGATGGCGCTGATCAGAACACCCTGCACGGAAAGTTGGGCCTACCACCTGGGGTGCAAGGAGAGTGCAGCAGCTCCATCCTCTCCCAAGAGAGGTTTTTCATCCCCCTTTTTTCACCTATCCCATATACCACGACAGGGTCCTAGTTCAGGTCGGATCGCTTCACCGGCCAGACGACACCGGTCCGGGTCGATCGGACGCGGAATCCGGAATCCGGAGCTTTGCTTGGATTGAAGAGAAGACACCAAGGTTTTTGTTTTTCGCTCCCAAACAGGGGTTCTATTGAGGTTCTAGCTGGCAATGGCATATTCCACTCGGGTCCCCGACAGGACATGGCCTGATCGACATCGACGTTCACCGAACGGCCTCCGCCGCTGAACGAACGAACGGCTGAACGGGTTCAGGGATCTGCCCCCCATGGAAGAGGAGATGCGCGAGATCTGCCGCGTGCGGGAGGCGTGGGGCGTGGGGGTGGCCCCATGCCCTGCCGGGGTTTTGGGGTTGGGAATGTGGACTGTTGGTGATGATAAGACCTGGTTTTGGGGAGATGTGTGACCGTTCTGGTAGTTAGGGGATTTATGAATATCAACAGTGTAGATTCGATGAAGGTATGTCTTTTGACCCAGTGGTGAGGAGGCTGGGAAAGGAATGCATGGTGGTTGCTGTGAAGTCTAAGGATGTGCTTTTGAGACCACACCAATCAGGACAATCAGGATCTCCCTCCAGGATCACACGCTTGTGGCATGGCGATGGTCAATCATCCCCCACCTGATCTCATGACACTAAGCATCACGCATGACACCGAATGCGTCGTG